CAAGGCGAAACGATTGCGGAATGGATCAACCGTGAGACACACTCCAATGCCATTAAAAACTGGGTCTGTGCGCGTGCATTGAAACTGAGTGCGACCAGACCAGGCAGTACATCTGCGGGCACGACACAAAGCTTGAACATCTAAGATACGCGTGATGATCTCCTGCGAAAGAACAGTGGGGATGGACTGCGCCCTACGATGGGTAATGTCACCATGCATACCCTGAAAGATTGCAGAAAACAAAGCAGTCAGTCTAGACTGCTGAATCCCTTGCTCCAAAATGACATGCATCATGCGTAAACCAGGAATATCAGAGACAGGTGCCGGCCGGACAATTCGAAATGCCAAGTTATCAAATGGTCGCAGCATGTGCATCCACGGGTTGCACAATTGAGCGAACCATTCAAATGGTCGATTCGAAAGCCGAATGAGTCGACCGACCAGGCACACCGGAGCATGATCATGATGGACGAACCACGTTGTGACATGAAGGACAGGTCCTTCCTCCGGGATGTCAACCACCGAAAGTTCTTCAAACTGCGCCCGCAATTCTTGGTCAAATTCATGCCATTCGGGTGCATTGGGAAAGATCGGTGCTGCTTGCATCGGCGTGTCGACTTCAAACGAAGGGTCCCCTGCAACATGCTGATCTGCATAATGGCATTGCCTAGGCAGTGCAGAATGGCATAGGCTTAAACTGTCATGCATGGCGTCGGGCGGGGTAGATCCAACATCAGGCTTGGCACGGGTGTTCACATCAGTATGGTGCGGCAACGCAGGGTACACCTGAGCAAACGAAGGAAAGTGCGAATCAAACAAATCTTCAACCAGAGAAGCAGATCTGCATGTCTCAGTGCCGTGGACGTTGGCTGGTGGTACGTGCACTCGAATATAACTTCCTGATAGAACTGTCTGAGGTCCGACAATCTGAGAAGGCCAAGGATAATGGTTAAGCGCAACAAGACAGGTCTGCCGAACGCTCTCACAATAATTGGCAACTCTGGCAATCTGCAGGACGGCTTGTCGAGTGAGAAGCTGTGGCATTCGCACTACTTTTCTATCGACGGCAGGAGCAGTGTACATATGCGCAACAGACCCTTGCTGATGAAAAATCACATCCATCAGCACCAGACTGTCGGAAGAGCCTTGTTCAATGTCCTGCCGTTGCTGTACAATGACACTGAGTTCACTCACAGGCTCTCCTACCGGTTTGACCAAGAGCGGATGAATGGCAACGAGATCAGCAGGAGAGATGGAGGTAACCTCTAAAACATCCTGCAATAGGTTCGAGAACTGCCGCCAGCGGACCCAGGCTGATTTGGTTTGCCTATTCAGTCGGTACAAGGTAACGCGTCGGAGGTCATTGGCATCAGTCACAGCGGCAGAGGTCGGATCTGTTGCCACAGGATCAGACGCATCAACCGACGGCTGGTCCATATTGGCATCCGGTGGAATCTGGGGCTCTGGAAAAGGGTCGATAGTGGGAGTGAAATCATTGTGAACACTCGATGCAGGCTCAGCACTAGGTTTGCGACTCAAATAAACAACAAACCCATGACCGTGCTGCATCTGATGAATGCGATTGAAATCAATGTACAATTGCTCCCTGGCATGAAAGATGAGGCAGTCAAACCGATTACAAAACGGCTGAAGATCGGCACCTGTGATGAGATCTTGGCCACTGATGACAGGTTCAAACGAAACTGCAACCGCATACATTCGTAGATTCTGCTCAGTGATGGTTGGGGAAATGGTTACCAACCCTGAAAAGCGACCACTGTACATCCCTTGCGCCAAGATCAAGTCATACAGAATGTGCGTCTCATGCCAGTTACGAGGAGGGTTAGGGCTAACTAAATCAAGCGTGAGGTCTTCCCCAGGAATGATAAGGTCAGCCCAAGTGGTGAGAATCTGCGCTCTCCACAGATGCGGTGGGCCAGTCATCATGATTTGCCTCGCCTGCAGGGACAGGGGGATGTGAACATGATGCAGATACCACGTACGAACCACAAACCCTTGGACGATTCGAACTGGATTGGTTAAAAATTCCAATGGAAGGTTGACCATCATCTGTTGTGCAAACGGCGGGAGTCGAATCGGCGACGGTGCACTACTTGGAAGACTTCCATGAGCGTCGGTACGAGTCTGGGAGGCATCTGTAGGACCCGCATCAGCAGGAGCATCGGAGCCGGGGCAAGTCACATATCCCTCATGAGATAATTGAGAAATGCCTGAAACCAACGGACACGGATAATCATTGGGGTTCAAAATGACTTAGGAAGTGAAAACCTGAGTCAACAATTCCACATTATGCAAAAAGCTGGATGGATCATGGTCCTTTGGGATCAACACGGCCTCACAAGGAGACAGCGGATCGCGGCAAAGGCCAGCACAATGCAATGGCAAGCTCTGGTCAGGGCGAGGGTGCAAAAAGGCTGCAAACAATTCGGAAACGGGGCATGCAAGATCTCGATCAAAACAAAACCGCTCTGTGGACATCTTCGTGCCTAAGGGCTGAAAATGATCAGACCAAGGTTTGTGACAAGTGTGCAGCGCTTCGGCTGGGACAGTCACAGCGTGCATGTCAATTGAAGCTTCTTCACCAAGAAACACCTCCACATTGGGACAAAAAGTCACGCAGGCTCTACCCTCATGCCTGCGACCAAGTGCTGGGACAAATCTCGGCGATTGGAAGGTGGAGGACCCAAACTGCAAGGCAAGCTCAGTGGCACGGTGTGCTGCAACCCATTCCGAGCAGTAGTCATCTTCTTGCAGAATCGAGTGTGTCCACTTCAAAGTAAGATCGGAAGTTGAAGGCAAAATGCCGGAGTGCCCTGGCCATTGGACGGTATACTCTGTGGTCATACCAATCCGGCCCATCAAAAAGACGTACCACCAGCTGGAGGCACGTCCTGCATACCAGTGTCTGGTGGCTCTAGTCTTTGACGTTTGTTCGCCTGCTGCTCGGCTTGCATCAACTCTTCTGCGTTGGCACTCAGCGTTCGCAGGCTGTCGCCTAAATGCTTCAGGCTGTCGTTGATCTTTTGGGCACTGGTGTTCGCAGCATCTTTGGACTCCTTGGACTCTTCCTCCTCGTCGCTCACTGTCGTAATGTCCTGGTCGGACGGCTCCTCCGATTTCTGCAGGAGCGATTTGGAGGCCGCCAAATTGCTTCGGGCTGTGTCCAAGGCTACTCGAGCAGAGTTGACTCGTTCTGCCATCACTGCCTCCTGCTGCTGGAATTGCTGCGAGTATGCCTGCCACTTGGCCACTTGTTCCACCAGGAATGTCCTCCAGGAGGAGTGAAGGCTGAGTCTGGCTGCATTGGCATTCTGGAGCTCCGTCCTGGCTTTGCCAAGTGCATTGACCTGCTTGTGCAGCGACTTGATCGCAATTTCGCCCTCCTTGATCTTGGTGTCTTGCATTTCCTTCTGAATGTCCGGATGCAATCCATCTGGATGCTTTTCCAGAAGGGCATACATGGCCTTCAATTTGGCCTCTGCGGCTGAAGCGGCGGCTGTGGCAGCAGCATTGACAGCTGTTGCATTGGGGTCGGCTGCCATGCTTGTCGTCGGCAGGGGCGGCGGAGGGGCCATAAGCCATGGAGCCTCCTGATATGTCGGCATAACTGCTGGCGGCCCCTGCGCAACATGTTGGTCTGAAGCTGGAGGGACCGGCATCATGTTCTGTCCACCTTTGTGCTTGCCTTTGTGTTTTCCCTTGCCTGTCTTCTGTCGATTCGACCCAGACCTGTGCCTGGGAGAGGACTTCCTGGGAGACTGAACCCACTGACTTCCGCCTCCTTGCTCGTAGTCGTGGGTCCACCTCTGGCCTTGACGAGGAGTTCCAGATCTTCGCTGATCTCCGCGTTGTCGGCGATTCTGCTGTGCTCCTGAATCCTTGGGCTGATTCGAGTGCGGGGTTCCACAAGTCCAGTGTTGCCCACAAATAGGACAATGCATTGCGCGTTTCCCATTGAGGCTCCCGCACTGACAATGCCAAGGATAAGACTGACCATGTGTCGCCATTGCAGCAATCTCGTTGCGAATGGTAGCCAGAAATTTCGGGCCGCGAGAATGATGAAGCGAAAGCGTATGGAAAATCCTCTGAAGCCCAATTGAACTCAAAGGTCTGATTTTCGTTCTGTGCAAAAACCAGCTTAGCCTTGCTTGCGCTCGGGACCTTCGAAATCTCCTTCGGGAGGCTGTAGATAGCGACGCCAACGTGACAAAAAGCCCAAATTGCCAGTTGAAACATAAAAGAGGTTGCAACTCCCAAAACCCGGATGTTACGTACACCCGCAGAATCGCAAAATTGGAAAGTAGTCAAGGAAACCAAACAGGGGAGCAACAACAGGAACGTCACTGTTGTAGCAAGCCCAGGAGAAATCCAAAATTGTAAATACAAACCGTGGATGTGGACAGCCAAAGATGTAACTGTTGTGAGAAATTCAATCAACAACAACCACCGATGGGCGCACCACAGTGCCAAAAAATGTCCAATTGCAATAGTTGTGGGCCGAGCTAACGGCAGCCAAAAAGATGCAAAGGACCACGACAGGGTTTTACCAGGTTGACCCCAAACCTAAAAGGCAGACTGAGAGGCTTGAAGAAGTAGTCCCAGTTGCCCGCGGTCGCAAATGGCTCGGACCGCTTAGGTTTACAAGGCTGAAAGGGGGGGGTACCCCACGAGCCGAAACCTTAATCATCATCATCATCATTTATCATTATTTATACTCCGTTGCTTGCTGTTCTCCAACTTCTGGTTCATCTGACTGTAATGTTCAAGGTCTGAAACTCTTTTGCCCTTCTCTACACGTAGGGATATATAGCATACGAGATCGTATATCATACACCTGGACATACCTGGACCGTGGGCATGCCGTAAAAGATTGAGCAACTAGTTATCAAAAAACTGAGAAGATATTGATTCGTTCCATTGGATGGATTATCCAACGGATCACTGTATCTTGTTCCACTGCCCACTTTGCACCACTGAAGGTATTGCCCTAGAAGAGGCTTTATCTAGACATGCAGAACTCCAACGTGATGAAGAGTGGAAGCGGGCTAACTGCAGAGAATGTCCAAGGTGTCAGCGTGTTGTTGAAAAGTTGGAGGGCTGTGATCAGATGATTTGCGGTCAGGATGCCCATGGAGGGAATCGACAAAATGGTTGTGGCCACCATTTTTCATGGAACGAAGCACGGGCCTACCGTGTAGCACCGGAGTCGCGGCCGTTGCCACAGCTGAACGTGGAAGAAGTGAGGCTGCGTGGGGCAAACTTGCGTCATCCCTTTACTCATTGTTCTTCCTGTGAGCAAGACATTGTGGGTCCAAGGTTCAGGTGCATTCACTGCCCTGATTACAACCTCTGTGTCACTTGCGAGCGGGAATGCGCTACGTGCGCTACGCATCCACTGAATCATGTCTTCGAGATTTTGTTCAAGGCTGACTATGATCTGCGTGCTCACTTGCCACTGGGTTCCCATGTTCTTATTGCTGACCATTCGGAGAGACATGGTTTTGAGGCCATTTTGGAGCACGAAATTTGCCAGGCCATTTTGGGTGAGTATAAGACTGAACGAAGTGCCACAGATTCAAAGCTTGACTCAGCAAATCTGCGTCCAACTCATGGGGGGCAGTTTGAGATTCAAGAAGAAACTGTAAGTTGTTTGATGTTGTTTGATGTTGTTTGTATTATTTTATATTATTATTATTGTTATTATTATAATATTATTATTTTAATGTTCAGTTCATTCATTGTTTTATTATTGTTGTACTCGTACTTGCAAACGACGAAGGTTGATTCCTAAAGATATTAAAATATATCCGAAGAGTTGTGCCCCGCAGGATGTCTTCCAGGTGAGGCTCCTGTCTGACAACTCAGAGCGGCAGCTGCATCGTTCAGCCGTGCAAGTGAAGCTAGAGACGAGCAAAGCTGTTGAAGCTCATGTCAAGGCACTCCAAGGGGGATATTATGGATGATTAACAATAATATATATATTTTTATATTGTATCTATAAAATTACATGGATATATATATATATTATGTAACATGTTGGACAATGCCTGTTGGATCCTGTTCGTCAAGATTTGATAGTGTCAGGCAGCCAGGAAATATATGTTCCCTTTGGTGCATTTTGCTTCGCCTGTGATATGCTTGGCTTCAACCACACATACAGTATCGGAGAATATCTACAATATCTACCAAGATGTCTGCCCTACACACCCTAACCATCCCAAAGCTTTATGGGCGAATCATTGCGAAGATGATGATAGAAATCAACGGCTCTGAAGAATTTCCATTGTTTTCTCCTTTCAAATACTTCCATGTGTTGCAGAATTTGCAGGCACATGTGGCGGCGCAAGTAGCCGAAGCTCAGCAAGTGGCGGCCAAACGACAGCAAGCAGTTTCTCAGATGCGTGGCACTGATTGTGTGGTGGGATGACTTATGGCATGGAAATCTTCGAAGATTTGAGTCGCTGGTGACGAGCTCAGGGGCGACATGAATCCTTGTAGCAACTGCGAACTTTTGGCATTTGAAAACCGAAGTCTGTGGAGTACCTGTGCAGTTGGTACTTGTCAGTTTCATAGCCAGCAGACTGTTCAATAGGATGTTCGCCGTGTGCAAGCAAAAGGGTGTGTCTTGCATCAACTTGGGAGGAAGAAGGAAATGTGGGGTCTTTGGAATGTCAAGAGTCAAAACACGGTCAAGACTTGAATATTGTTCGACAGTTGCTTGCAGCAAAGGCACATTCATGTACATTTCTTGTAGGTGGTTGGATGTTCTGTCACTTTTGCCTAGTGACCTTGAAGATTCTGGCTAGTTCATGCTAGCTCGAATTCTGGTAGTTTCAGACCTGTTACTGAGGGAATCTTCCAAATGTACCTAGATGATCCTCGATGTACTTAAATGCTTAGCGACGCTGTTGTCTTCAGGTGTGACAACAGTATAAAGAACGTGATGCATATATATATATATACATCATTATATTATATTATATTATATTATATTGTATTGTATTGTATTGTATTGTATTATATCATATCATATTATATTATATTATATCATATTATATAATATCATATTATATATTTCGTTGCATATTATATTATATTATATTAAATATTATATCATATCATATCATATTACATTATATTATATTATATTTCATATTTTATTATATCATATTATATTATATTATATTAAATTATATTAAATTATATTATATTATATTATATTATATTTTATTATATCATATATTATTATATTACATTATATTATATTATATTATATTATATATATTATATTATATTATATTATATTATATTATTATATTATATTATATTATATTATATTATATTATATTATATGTATTATATGTATTACAGTATTACATGCATGATCTTTCCAGTAGAAATGCGTTATTAACATGTATGTATACATTTGCAATATGATCTTATCGCAACTGCCTTCGAAGCTGAGTATGCCCCCCTGATCTCAGTCGGCACTTGGAGCTGCTGCGGAGTACGAAGGCACCTTTTTTTTGGGTTGATTCAGCTTGGGATTGTCCTAATGGTGGATTTAATGGTGGATTATGGTGATTTAATGGTGATTTAATGGTGGATTATGGTGATTTATGGTCCTAATATTGTAACTTGATGATGATTTAGTGGTGCTCTTATGGTGATTTAATGGTGGATTATCCTAATTTAACAGGTTAAGGATGGTTAAGGGCCCCATTCTTGGGACAAGCCTGTGGTCTGGAAAACCATTTCATCTTACCCATGTTTAAATAGTTGACGGAACCTGAGTCGTGGTGGGGTAGAAAATCCTGTTCACCATGTTTACTCTCTAGTAATTTGACATAGATGTGGAAACCTCACCATGGTCACCATGTGTAGATCATTGTCCTAAGGAAACCATGCTTTTTTCACAGCATATTTCCCTATGTTTAAATAGCCACAGGGCATCCCTTGCTCCATTTCTCAACGTTCAGGGCAGGGCATCACCGGCAACACTTTGTGGCCGGCCACGGTCATTGAGAGCCAGGCCCTCTCGAAGTTTGGGGAGTAGGTCTGGAGTGTCCCTAATTTATGGCAATGTTGAATGGGGAAAATACGGGAAAATGATGATTAACCATGATTAACCATCGAATGTTGGAGTACCCTGAGTTTTCAGGCAAACCAAAATGAACATGAAAACCAATGGTATACCAATGGTTTGCGAACGAACTATATTGTGTAAATGGCGGGTTTTCCATATCCATTAATGTGGATTTACAGGAGGGTAGGTTTTCTTTCCACGGAAACTTTGTCTTTTGTTTACAACGCTGCCAAACAAAGACACGCCTGAGCCTGCGCGATCTGTCAGCATGCCCGAATTGGAAGCAACAAAGCGTAAAAAATGATCTATCATGGCATATCATGGCTAAGGCCTTAGCGGCTAAGGGTCACTAATTGTATCTAATGGATTCTAATGGTAGAAATCGCATGACTGGTCTGTGAGTAATATAGTGATTAAGCAGCATTCTTCGGGGCACTCATTCTCCCATTGTGCTTCATTGTGCTTCATCTCTTCTCGCCTGCTCCAGGCATCCAAGAACTTTGAGTTGGGAGGGCGCGAGATGTGGCGCAAGGTGGATTACTATGACTGGCAGTTGCATCACAGCAGATTGGCTTTCAGACATCAAATCATCGGCTTAGAGGCTTAGACAAGACGAAGAAATCATTCCAATTCATTCCATTTCCCCCAAGCGTGACACTGTGACACTGCCGTGTCACAATGTGGAGCCAAAATCTCCAACCAGATTTGGGTGTGTCTGAAAATATCCCTAAACCCAATGGTTTTGCTGATCATTATCCCTATTAAATGGCTATTTGTTTGGGGAATATACCCTATTTTCAGACAAACCCATTTAGCTCCATATTTTCGGCTGGTCACCTGCTGGTCACCATGGCCATGGCTCCAATGTTCTCCAAGTTAGGCCCAGATCCTTTCTGACTGCGTGCTTGGCCTCGTGAGTGCTTCCGCCACCTGGCGCGCAAGTTGTGGTGGAAGCGTGTCATCTAATCGTTTTTTTTGCACGTAAAAAGCAGGTACTGGTCGTAGAGTCTAAGACTCTCAATGACTTTCAGCAGACTCAGAGCTTCAAGCTTAAAAAATTTAAAACCAAGGTATAATTGACAAAATGTATCACAATGAGTTGGCCTGCCGTGTTAGGATAGCTGCACCGGAAATCAGCTGATTGACGACGAGCGCCTCGACGAGCGTTGCTTCAAGCTCCTGTGGGTGGGATGCTGTCGCTTCTACGGGTAACCTTTGGAAGCAGACAGTGGAAATTCTATGAGTTTCTATGAACATATATTAGCTTTCCAAACAGCACTAATTAAGTCAGTAAATAGAGAATTGAGTATAGTTGCTTTCGTATTCTCGGAGTTGTTTGGAAAGAAGTAGAACATGATGACGAGGATGGCAGTGACAATAATCATGACCAGACGATGGCAATAATTATGACAATGACGATGGCGACGACACACACACACACAGCCGTGTTGGTGCAGTGCCAATTTGATCATGCCATCCCAGATTTTCCTGAATTAGGTGGTTGTTCTTGAGATATTTATTTTTTTCATTTTTTTACTTCATGGGGCTCTGTCTCCAGAACCAATAATGGAAGCAGCCATGAGCAACTCCCCTCAAAATGTATGTCAAACCCCGCAAACTATCGCAACAGGTGCCGGGTGGCTTCAATTTTTTCCGTTCCGAGGTATCTTCAGAGAATGCATGGCTTTACCGCAGAAGACCTGGCAGTAGCTTGCACTGCAGTGTTGCATCGTAGCTGGGGTGAACACCGCTGTCTCCATTTGAGCAGCCGCCCAATACCTCCCAAGTTATCTTATGAAGGGTTCTTAAAGTAACATGCCTTCGGAAAGGCTACAGCCAAGAAAAAGTGCGCACTGCAAAAGTTTCTTAAGGGAGGGCGACAGGGAAGAGCGAATCGAACAAAAAGTACGAAGGTCTTGGAAACGGCATTTGTCAATTTGGATTGAGTAGAATGAACGTGCTGAGGTGTACCGATGTGTCCCAGACGTCGAGCCACCGCGGGCACTGGCAAGTCATGGCCATATGGGCAACGATGGTCCGGAGACACAACGCTGAGATACGCAAGGTTTGCTTTGATGTTCTTCTCCCAGAATTGGCTGAAGTGAAAATCTACAGGAAATCACCCTAGGCCCTAGGACATGTAAAACTAACAGTTTCCTGCAACATTTCCCGAAAAACGAACCATCCATCTTTGATACAGTTTCTGCTGCACCTTTATAGTCCTCGGACCTGATCACAGTCCATTTCGGGTAGTGGAATCTAAAATGGCTGCTAAGAGGTAAGAAATGAGCTGAATCTTGCTGATGAATTTTGTAATGATCTTCCTATGAATCCCCTTTCGACATCAACCGAAGTTCTTGCAAATATGTGGAAATATCCTTTCTGTATAATTGTATATATAATTAATTGACGAGTCTAAACTAGCTCCAGGTGGCGCTACTGTGCGCCGTGGTGACGTGTGGAGCCACAGTCACAGCCGTTTGGAATGACAGTCACCAGGACAATCCTCGAGGGTGTGAACAACTGGTGGCAACTGGTGGGCCCAATCGTAATCACCTAAAAGATGAGTAGCAAAATCCCACTAACATAGTTTCTAAACTGACTTTTCTATCTTTCTATCTTTCTGACTATATAGTATAATACTATATTCATATTATATATATAATATTACATACGCTCTTTTAAAATCACATTTCATGACTTTCGGCTCGGACGGGTACCTGCATGGCACTCCGCTGTGGCGCATCAAATTTCCTGCAAGGTCCGGCGTCTCAACGACGATGTGCAGAACTCAACAGCGTTGTCATCGAAACTGTGAGCCAGAAAAAAACACGGTGCCAGCCAATTTGCACACGTTGACTCCGAACCTAACAAATCCTAACCAATCCTAACAAGCATGCATGAAAGATATTGAAGGATCATGAAAGAACACATTAGTTCTTGTATTTCGAAGTGATTTTATATGTGTGGTGTTTTGACTTTATCTCATTCTCACCTTGCCAATGGGCGTGGCCATTTGAGAGCCATCTCTGGCATTTCGAGCGGCTAGCAGCGTACAGTTGGTCCGCTGCCGACATGCTCCTGCTGCTTTTGCGCAAGATGAAAAGTTGCTGGAACAGGGTCAGATATCCATTGGGGTATGGTATGGCTCAAAATTGTCAAACCCTCGTGGCCTAAGAAGGACCAATTTTGTGGGTTCAGTTGTGGCCCATTTTTGACCCATAGCCAGAGAGGTGTCGCAAGATTTCGTTCAGCTGCTGTTTGACATGTTAACCACGAACTGATGTACAGACAAAGTTGAGGATACTACAGATTACTACGCTTTGATCACAGACAGAAGACTTTTGTGAATCATCCGAACAGACGGTGGCAGAATCTTTTCTGACAATCAAGAACTTGACTGATGGCGAATGCATGCGTTACTGCGTGATAGTGCTTTCGCATTTGTATACATTTGCGATCAAGAGATTCCGTCAAACACAAGAGTGAACAATCGCAGGCTTTTGATATAGTATTTCAATTGTCTCAAACATGTCCATTCTTTACTAGCAGATGAGAACCATATCATGTGCCAAGGATTTACTCATGGAGAGGCAACAACTTGTGGCCCCAAAGAGCAAAGATCAGCAGTCGTTTTCCATTACATGGGGCCCTAGCCCTTTGGATGCCGCTTGGGACGTTCCCCTTTCGGATTCGTCAGGGATGCTCGCCTGCATGCTGATTGATTGGAATCGATTGGAACAAAACATACTGCAACCCACGTTGCAAGTGAGTTAGTGAGTTTGTTTGGGACACATTCTAAAGATTATTCAAACCTGATACTCTACAGCAACTAGATGTAGGTATAGATGTGATCAGTGATAAGTAGATGATAGAACACCTGTTCACTAAGGAGTTTACTCAGAGTCCACGCCTTGATGTGCAGTATCCATATTCTCTGCTGAGCATGGCACATCCCTACCCCCTGTGGATTAGAACAACCTTCTACATTTCAAACACATTACCTTTATCAGTGAAAGACGAGCATTGAAAGCAACATGGCGATACTGAGACAGTGATGCTCATAAAATATGTGAAGACAAGGATCTCTTGATATCATTTGATATCTATTTAATTCTATTTAGCCAGTAAAGAGAATTGTGGCATATTGTGAGCTCTAGGTGCTTAAAAAGATCCAGAGAATGCGCAAAATTCCGAGATAAGGCAATTGCCATGGCGGAGAGCATTGATGAGGAGACTTGGGAATTGACTGACTCGGTTATAGTCTTATAATGTCTTACTGACTGTATAAAGTCTTATAATGTCTTATAAAGTCTTATAAAGTCTTATAATGTCTTATAATGTCTTATAATGTCTTATAATGTCTTATAATGTCTTATAATGTCTTATAAAGTCTTATAAAGTCTTACAATGTCTTGTAATGTCTTACAATGTCCTATAAATGTCCTATAAATGTCCTATAAATGTCTTATAATGTCTTATAATGTCTTATGATGTCGTATAAAGTCTTACAATGTTTTATAATGTCTTATAATGTCTTATAATGTCTTATAAAGTCTTATAATGTCTTACAATGTCTTGCAATGTCTTGCAATGTCTTGCAATGTCTTACAATATCTTACAATGTCTTACAATGTCTTACAATGTCTTATACTGTCTTATAATGTCTTATAATGTCTTGTAAAGTCTTATAAAGTCTTATAATGTCTTATAATGTCTTATAATGTCTTATAATGTATTATAATGTCTTATAATGTCACTTATAATGTCTTATAATGACTTATAATGTCTGAACATGTCTTATAATGTCTTATAATGTCTTTTAATGTCTTATAATGTCTTATAATGTCTTATAATGTCTTGCAATGTCTTCTAATGTCTTATAAAGTCTTAAAATGTCTTCTAATGTCTTATAATGTATTGTCATGTCTTATGATGTCTTATAATGTCTTATAATGTCTTATAAAGTCTTATAACGTCTTATAACATCTTATAATGTCTTATAATGTCTTATAATGTCTTATAATGTCTTATAATGTCTTATAATGTCTTATATGGTCTTACATTGTCTTACAGTGTCTTGCAATGCCTTGCAATGTCTTGCAATGTCTTGCAATGTCTTGCAATGTCTTGCAATGTCTTGCAATGTCTTGCAATGTCTTGCAATGTCTTACAATGTCTTACAATGTCTTAGAATGTCTTACAATAACTTATAATGTCTTATAATGTCTTATAATGTCTTATAATGTCTTATAATGTCTTTTAATAACTTATAATGTCTTATAATGTCTTATAATGTCTTATACTGTCTTATAATGTCTTATGATGTCTTATGATGTCTTATGATGTCTTATGATGTCTTATAATGTATTACATTGTCTTACAATGTCTTACAATGTCTTGCAATGTCTTGCAATGTCTTGCAATGTCTTGCAATGTCTTGCAATGTCTTGCAATGTCTTGCAATGTCTTGCAATGTCTTATAATGTCTTATAATGTCTTATAATGTCTTATAGTGTCTTATAATGTATTATAATGTCTTATAATGTATTATAATGTCTTATAATGTCTTATAATGTCCTATAAATGTCCTATAAATGTCCTATCAATGTCCTATCAATGTCCTATAAATGTCTCATAATGTCTTATAAAGTCCTTTAATGTCTTGCAATGTCTTACAATGTCTTATAATGTCCTATAAATGTCTTATAATGTCTTATAATGTCTTATAATGTCTTATAATGTCTTATAATGTCTTATAATGTCTTATAATGTCTTATAATGTCTTATAATGTCTTACAATGTCTTAGAATGTCTTATAATGTCTTTCACTGTCTTATAATGTCTTTCACTGTCTTATAATGTCTTATAATGTCTTAATGTCTTATAATGTCTTATATGGTCTTACATTGTCTTACAGTGTCTTGCAATGCCTTGCAATGTCTTGCAATGTCTTGCAATGTCTTGCAATGTCTTGCAATGTCTTGCAATGTCTTGCAATGTCTTGCAATGTCTTGCAATGTCTTGCAATGTCTTATAATGTCTTGCAATGTCTTATAATGTCTTATAATGTCTTATAATGTATTATAATTTCTTATAATGTCTTATAATGTCTTACAATGTCTTATAATGTCTTATAATGTCCTATAAATGCCCTATAAATGTCCTATAAATGTCCTATAAATGTCCTATAAATGTCTTATAATGTCTTATAATGTGTTATAATGTCTTATAAATGTCTTATACTGTCTTATAATGTCTTATAATGTCTTATAGTGTCTTATAATGTCTTATAGTGTCTTATAGTGTCTTGTTAGTTGTAGATGACCGTTGATATTGACAGTAACATATATAATCTTTTTGTTCCAGCTGTTTTCGATGACACCGAGATGACACCGGCTGTGTCGTAGGAGGGGAAGAAGCTCTCACCGGAGTCTACAGGGCAAGCCTTCGGTGAGGTGCACAGACCACCTGATGGAGATTGCAAATACATCCTTGGAATTTGGATGGAATATGAACGAATATCATAGAATGATGTCTAGATATGTCTAGATATGTCTAGATATGTCTAGATTATTTATATAAGAATATTTATGATGATTTTAGATTTGGCCAGTTTGGATTCCGGTGTTGTCAGCTTCTACCAGGTGATCAGGGACTACACGCCGCATCCAGACGCAAGCTGGAGAAGTGGCAAACCTGACTATTTGTTAGTTGCTTGGCTAGGTGATGATCTCCAGGGTCGCTTTGGGCTCTACTGTCGGCGCTGTAGGTCCCAAATACAGATTTTGAAGATCAAGGAATTTAAGATGTTTTCAAACAAAGTATCAGCAGCTCATCAAGAGATTGAGCGGCGAATGAAGTTTTTTTGGTAATTTGCGATGACTCAGTGTGGAAACGGAGAAAAACCGCCTTCTATCTGCAGATAGCCCAGTCGTAGGTTTTCCATAGAGTCGACAAAGCCAAGTTCTTCATAGTTCTTCAACACCAAAGATTCTCATTCTTGTTGATAAGCTAAGCAATGGTTAACCTGCAAAAACTTCGATCAAAGCCAGCATTTTTCGTTGCCATCCACGCCTTTTTCGCGGGGCCCTTCTTCGACCAGCTCGTTGTCACAGGTGAATCGGACCTTCTTCGACCACCGGTCACTGGAGCATGAGGTCGGTTCATTGGAACATGTGGTCAGCAAGCTGATCAAGAACTGGGCTCCTCGGCCGACGCTATCAACAAAAAAAATTGGTCACCGACTAAAATAGGGTGACCATGGGCTAGCGAAATGCAACACGAACCATGGTATATTGTAACGGTAGAACTCACCAAACATTCTTTAAGGAGATCATGATGGATTAATGATTAATGTATATTAATATGATATAGTGAGAATAGTTCATGCAAATGGTGAACGGGGATAAGATGAGGATATATAAGCAACACTTTGTCCACAATCAGGGCATACCGGCATACCCCTAAAATCCACCAATCGTCACATTTTCATACATTTTCCATCATGTAAATTGCCATATGGCTGAAGACCTACTGTACCTTTATGGCCTATCATACCCGCGTCTGGTGTCATTGATGGGGTTTAATTGATTATGGTGGATATGGTGGACATTTCGGTCCAATTGCAAACCCAGTCATCATTAATTTTCCCGTCCCTCGAAGCTTGTCGTGGTCTATCCTTTTGTCTAACTGGGCTCGAAACCATAGACCTCCAAGAACGGCACCTCATATTTGAAGTGTAGTCATAGAGTATTTCCAGACATGGGGTATAGTATACCCCAAACAGATATATAATTTGATTGGATAAGTGATGATCAACCATTGATCAACCATGATCATCCATTGGATTTTGAGGTATACACTGTACTAATTTTTAAAGAAACCCACATAGATGGCATGATCGGAGCAAGTCCAACTCCGCTACTTTTTGTACCAGGCGGTGGAAGCCCATAATGTGGCAGACGTGCATTTGTGGAAGACCATGGACATCAACAAGTTCCAGGCAGCTGTTGCTGTCCTAAAAAGCTCGTGATTTCTGGTAATTTCTTTTCCCAGCTATGAGGGATGATCAGGAATAACGCTCATATTTTGTTGGCATGGGCTGAAGCCACAAAAAATTGAGTGTATAGAAAGACACTACCGTGCATTCGTGTTTGAGACGTGTAGATGGTGCGTTGTGATGTTGGCTCAAAGAAATCGCGGCCAGGCTGCTTTGAACGGAGGCTGTCCTGTGCTGGCACAACAGATGTCGGACCTGGGATCCTGCAATTTGTCTCTCAGCGGCACCAAGGTGGACAAGTTGTTCTGTGCGAATTTCTTTTCGGAGGTGAACACATATGGACTTAGTGAAGCAAGCTGCTGCCATGTCCACGAGTCTTCAGCATACTTTACCCATCTTTCCGAAGGAGCTTTTGATATCTTTTGATCATTGGAAGGTTGGGGCAGACCCCAAAGGGAATCATTGGGCCCCTTGGCCACTGCTAGGGGCCGAGTCGCCACAGCACCAGCTACTAAGCTACTAAGGTTCCTGGGTCAGACAAAGGAATACAACTGTCGCTGCTTGGTCAAGATGCAGCCAGGGGCTGGAAGAAAACCGGGAGGGTGCACCAGATGCTGGGTCTACCGAGGGGTACTGGCTGTGTGTTGATCATCGTTAATTGTTTTGCTGCAAATTGGGATATATGAACTAATCAGCCAAAGAAATATCCTTTGCAGGGTATATATGGTATATGAGGGTATCTAAGATTGTCATAGATTGGCCATGGATGGAACCAACGCCTGCAATCCCTACGAACACGGCGTGCTGTGCTTACATTGCATGGAAGGATTGAGTGGTGCTGGCCAAGCGGAGTTCCACTTCTCACTCAGGTGCTATTTGGCTCCCACATGCAGGGAACCGCGCTGTTGGATGAACCGTCCAATTTTGGGGTGCCCGCCACATGGGTCCAGTGATATCCAAGGTTTACACAGTTTCGAGACAGCTCAGAAGGCACCAACGCGACCCTGACATCCTGTGCTGTTGATTGGGATTTGAAGCAGCTGGAAATGCTTGGAGGACCTGAGGAGAACACACCATTCTGATGTTTGATGATATTTTTGAGGTCTTAAATTGGATGATATAATTAGTTACAGTATTAGTTGAACAATTTTCAGAAACATGATCTGTTCCGAGCTCAGGTAGGGTAGGGTCTAGAATGTCTAGAAGCTCAACACCTATTGCACTGGTCCGCAGGTTTTCCGGACAGCCTTCCCAATGGGCTTTGCCTGGGAATGCCTGGAGGCAAGGAGACAGCCAAGAGTAGATCGCATCATTGCAAAAATGTTTTCGGGTGTCTGATACTTTTAACGATTCATGGCAATGCCCTGGGATCCATTGGGTGAGAATCATGTTATAAAATGTTATAAACTCTTGGGACGTGACATCCAACATTGGGCTCCTCCACATTCCTCTGAGATCGTTGAGAAAGATGTGCACCCCTTGATTTGTGCACGTCTTTGTGTAGTGAACCACCTGGTGGTGTTTGCAGTTCACCAAGTTGTTTCTCATCAACATGATCAACCGCTATGTTTGTACATTACTAACGTTCACGAACTATAGATATAGCATGATATAGCATTATATAGCCATATAGCCATTATTGTTAACTACAGTGCTTTTCTTTGAAACATAGGTAGTCTTATCATTATTAACTACTTACAAAATATGATAATTATATACACAGTATATATATATATATAGAGAGAGATTCATACCAGTTTAGGCTTCAGGTTCAAGGTCAGTTGTGGCTCTTCATGAGATTCCCCGTGAGATCAGCCCCGCGTTTCGAGGTTTTCTCTGGACCTCCTACGGCTGCTTGGATCTGAAGTATTGCCAGGAGGACGTTGAAATGCTGACTTCTTTTGGCCAAATGTATGCAAATGATAGATCAACTATAGACATAATATATATATATATGTACGATGGACCTTTATGTACTATTTGAACGTTTGCATGTCGAAAGGATTTTATTGAAATTATACCTCTTTCTGGAGAATCCCTACTAGTTAATCTATATACCAAAAAGAAAGAAATGGAATTCAAAAAATTCAAAAAATTCAAAAAAAAATGAATACATTTTTTTTTTGAATTTTTTGAATTTTTTGAATTCCATTTCTTTCTTTTTGGGACTATTCACTTTTTTTTTGAATTTTTTGAATTTTTTGAATTCAAAAAATTCAAAGAATTCAAAAAAAATATGTATTCACTTTTTTTTTGAATTTTTTGAATTCAAAAAATTCAAAAAAATCAAAAAAAAAATGAAAGTCCCAAAAAGAAAGAAATGGAATTCAAAAAATTCAAAAGGGTCCCAAAAGCGAGAACAACAGGAATGAGGAGAGAAGTGAAGAAAGCGCTGGGAAAGACCACAGGGACAAGGAAGGAAAGAAAGGAAAGAGGAGAAAAACTATCCTCTCCCTCCCAAATGCCGGAGACCTGGAAAGAAGCACGGTAGTGGAGAGAGAATACGGAGACAAGTTGGAGACACGTAGGAAGGTAAGTAGGGCAACATGTGGTAGAGACCGAGGGTAAGGGACATGTGGTAGAGACCGAGGGTAAGGGAATGTGACCTGAACAAAGGAAGAAAAGTTAAGGAGAAACACAAGAGGCCAGGAAATCCATTCTTCTCCAAGCAGCAGCAGCAATGAGGGGGGAATTAAGGATACACGTTGGAGGGAACAAGGGAGGACAAGGGAGGACAAGTGAGGAACCAGAGAGAATCATGTGTCCAAATAAGCACCTAGAGAGAAGAACAGCAAGAGAGAGAGAGAGAGAAGTAAGGGCATGAGTTGGAGAGAACAAGGGGGACAAGCACGGAGACAGACAGAGGACTAGGAGCATACTGTTCCCCGGAAGCACCCAGAGAGAACAGCCACATATGAGAGTGAAGTAGAGAGACGAGTACGAAAACAGATGGGACTTGAGTCCTGTCCTCAAAGCCACCAGAACGAAGAACACTGAGCAATGGAGAGAGAAGTGAGGAACGGGAGACAAGCAGATTCCTTTGACCGAAAGCACCCAGAGAGAAGAATCGCAATGGAGATAGAGAAGTAAGGAGACAAGTAGGGAACAGACAAGGAGACAAGTATGGAAACAAATGGGAGGCAAGAAGAATCCTTTGCCATCGAGCACCACGAAGAGTATCCTGTGCCCAGAAGCACCCAGGAAGAAGAACAGTAACAGGGAGGGACAAAAAGAAATGAAGAGGTCCTAAAGCCTAGACAAAACAGCAAGTAGGAAAAAATTGGCTGAAGAAGGACACAGATGGGAACACATGGGAGACAAGGGGAATCTTGGGTCCCAAAAGCGAGAACAACAGGAATGAGGAGAGAAGTGAAGAAAGCGCTGGGAAAGACTACAGGGACAAGGAAGGAAAGAAAGGAAAGAGGAGAAAAACTATCCTCTCCCTCCCAAATGCCGGAGACCTGGAAAGAAGCGCGGTAGTGGAGAGAGAATAAGGAGACAAGTTGGAGACAAGTAGGAAGGTAAGTAGGGTAACATGTGGTAGAGACCGAGGGTAAGGGAATGTGACCTGAACAAAGGAAGAAAAGTTAAGGAGAAACACAAGAGGCCAGGAAATCCATTCTTCTCCAAGCAGCAGCAGCAGCAGCAATGAGGAGGGAATTAAGGATACACGTTGGAGGGAACAAGAAAGGGCAAGTGAGGAACCGGAGAGAATCATGTGTCCAAATAAGCACCTAGAGAGAAGAACAGCAAGAGAGAGAGAGAGAGAAGTAAGGGCATGAGTTGGAGAGAACAAGGGGGACAAGCACGGAGACAGACAGAGGACTAGGAGCATACTGTGCCCCGGAAGCACCCAGAGAGAACAGCCACATATGAGAGTGAAGTAGAGAGACGAGTACGAAAACAGATGGGACTTGAGTCCTGTCCCCAAAGCCACCAGAACGAAGAACACTGAGCAATGGAGAGAGAAGTGAGGAACGGGAGACAAGCAGATTCCTTTGACCGAAAGCACCCAGAGAGAAGAATCGCAATGGAGATAGAGAAGTAAGGAGACAAGTTGGGAACAGACAAGGAGACAAGTATGGAAACAAATGGGAGGCAAGAAGAATCCTTCGCCATCGAGCACCACGAAGAGTATCCTGTGCCCAGAAGCACCCAGGAAGAAGAACAGTAACAGGGAGGGACAAAAAGAAATGAAGAGGTCCTAAAGCCTAGACAAAACAGCAAGTAGGAAAAAATTGGCTGAAGAAGGACACAGATGGGAACACATGGGAGACAAGGGGAATCTTGGGTCCCAAAAGCGAGAACAACAGGAATGAGGAGAGAAGTGAAGAAAGCGCTGGGAAAGACCACAGGGACAAGGAAGGAAAGAAAGGAAAGAGGAGAAAAACTATCCTCTCCCTCCCAAATGCCGGAGACCTGGAAAGAAGCACGGTAGTGGAGAGAGAATACGGAGACAAGTTGGAGACACGTAGGAAGGTAAGTAGGGCAACATGTGGTAGAGACCGAGGGTAAGGGACATGTGGTAGAGACCGAGGGTAAGGGAATGTGACCTGAACAAAGGAAGAAAAGTTAAGGAGAAACACAAGAGGCCAGGAAATCCGTTCTTTCCCAAGCAGCAGCAGCAATGAGGAGGGAATTAAGGATACACGTTGGAGGGAACAAGGGAGGACAAGGGAGGACAAGTGAGGAACCAGAGAGAATCATGTGTCCAAATAAGCACCTAGAGAGAAGAACAGCAGAGAGAGAGAGAGAGAAAGAGAGAGAGAGAGAGAGAAGTAAGGGCACGAGTTGGAGAGAACAAGGGGGACAAGCACGGAGACAGACAGAGGACAAGGAGCATACTGTGCCCCGGAAGCACCCAGAGAGAACAGCCACATGTGAGAGTGAAGTAGAGAGACGAGTACGAAAACAGATGGGACTTGAGTCCTGTCCCCAAAGCCACCAGAACGAAGAACACTGAGCAATGGAGAGAGAAGTGAGGAACGGGAGACAAGGAGATTCCTTTGACCGAAAGCACCCAGAGAGAAGAATCGCAATGGAGATAGAGAAGTAAGGAGACAAGTTGGGAACAGACAAGGAGACAAGTATGGAAACAAATGGGAGGCAAGAAGAATCCTTTGCCATCGAGCACCACGAAGAGTATCCTGTGCCCAGAAGCACCCAGGAAGAAGAACAGTAACAGTGAGGGACAAAAAGAAATGAAGAGAGGAGACTGCAAGAAGGCGGTGACGGAAGGGACACGAATGAGGGACTCGGTAATGTTTATGGCCCCCAAAACCACCTGAAGGTCCTAAAGCCTAGACCACACAGCAAGTAGGAAAAAATTGGCTGAATAAGGACACAGATGGGAACACATGGGAGACAAGGGGAATCTTGGGTCCCAAAAGCGAGAACAACAGGAATGAGGAGAGAAGTGAAGAAAGCGCTGGGAAAGACTACAGGGACAAGGAAGGAAAGAAAGGAAAGAGGAGAAAAACTATCCTCTCCCTCCCAAATGCCGGAGACCTGGAAAGAAGCGCGGTAGTGGAGAGAGAATAAGGAGACAAGTTGGAGACAAGTAGGAAGGTAAGTAGGGTAACATGTGGTAGAGACCGAGGGTAAGGGAATGTGACCTGAACAAAGGAAGAAAAGTTAAGGAGAAACACAAGAGGCCAGGAAATCCATTCTTCTCCAAGCAGCAGCAGCAATGAGGAGGGAATTAAGGATACACGTTGGAGGGAACAAGGGAGGACAAGGGAGGACAAGTGAGGAACCAGAGAGAATCATGTGTCCAAATAAGCACCTAGAGAGAAGAACAGCAAGAGAGAGAGAGAGAAAGAGAGAGAGAGAGAAGTAAGGGCACGAGTTGGAGAGAACAAGGGGGACAAGCACGGAGACAGACAGAGGACAAGGAGCATACTGTGCCCCGGAAGCACCCAGAGAGAACAGCCACATGTGAGAGTGAAGTAGAGAGACGAGTACGAAAACAGATGGGACTTGAGTTCTGTCCCCAAAGCCACCAGAACGAAGAACACTGAGCAATGGAGAGAGAAGTGAGGAACGGGAGACAAGGAGATTCCTTTGACCGAAAGCACCCAGAGAGAAGAATCGCAATGGAGATAGAGAAGTAAGGAGACAAGTTGGGAACAGACAAGGAGACAAGTATGGAAACAAATGGGAGGCAAGAAGAATCCTTTGCCATCGAGCACCACGAAGAGTATCCTGTGCCCAGAAGCACCCAGGAAGAAGAACAGTAACAGGGAGGGACAAAAAGAAATGAAGAGGTCCTAAAGCCTAGACAAAACAGCAAGTAGGAAAAAATTGGCTGAAGAAGGACACAGATGGGAACACATGGGAGACAAGGGGAATCTTGGGTCCCAAAAGCGAGAACAACAGGAATGAGGAGAGAAGTGAAGAAAGCGCTGGGAAAGACTACAGGGACAAGGAAGGAAAGAAAGGAAAGAGGAGAAAAACTATCCTCTCCGTCCCAAATGCCGGAGACCTGGAAAGAAGCACGGTAGTGGAGAGAGGATAAGGAGACAAGTTGGAGACAAGTAGGAAGGTAAGTAGGGTAACACGTGGTAGAGACTGAGGGTAAGGGAATGTGACCTGAACAAAGGAAAAAAGGCAGGGAGAAACACAAGAGGCCAGGAAATCCATTCTTCCCCCAGCAGCAGCAATGGGGAGGGGATTAAGGATACACGTTGGAGGGAACAAGAAAGGGCAAGTGAGGAACCGGAGAGAATCATGTGTCCAAATAAGCACCTAGAGAGAAGAACAGCAAGAGAGAGAGAGAGAGAAAGAGAGAGAGAGAGAGAAGTAAGGGCATGAGTTGGAGAGAACAAGGGGGACAAGCACGGAGACAGACAGAGGACAAGGAGCATACTGTGCCCCTGAAGCACCCAGAGAGAACAGCCACATGTGAGAGTGAAGTAGAGAGACGAGTACGAAAACAGATGGGACTTGAGTCCTATCCCGAAAGCCACCAGAACGAAGAACACTGAGCAATGGAGAGAGAAGCGAGGAACGGGAGACAAGGAGATTCCTTTGACCGAAAGCGCCCAGAGAGAAGAATCGCAATGGAGATAGAGAAATAAGGAGACAAGTTGGGAACAGACAAGGAGACAAGTATGGAAACAAATGGGATCAGAAAGGAGGACGGTCGCATTATACCAAAAGGTCCCTGCCACATATATATATATATATATAATACCCACCATATATAAGGCCTATGTAAGGCCTATGTAAGGGCTCTGTAAGGGAACATCGCCACAAGATATGGCCTTATATGGTGCAGTACCTCCATCTTAGGATCCTGAAAATCCCACTAATAGTCACTAATACAATAGTTGGATATAGTTGCTATATCATGGTACTAGAGTTGTCTGAAGTTTCAACCCTTACAGTGCTTTATTTCTTTCTCTGAGTAACAACCAAATCAGTTCGGCATGCTTCAACAGACCCTGCTTCATGGCAACAGTGAGTACCTGTTGGCAAGCCGAGGTTGTCTTCAAGTGGAGACATTTCGGTAAATACACTGGTGTCTTCACAGACAAATCCGGCAAAAAGTACAAGGGCAATGGAAAGATGCTCAGCAACATGTCTGAATGAGAATTAAGGCTTAAGGTGAGAGTTGAGTTGAAGTCGGCGCTGTTTGAACCAAACGCTCCAGATGTTAGGAGGAAATTGAGACAAGCCTTCTATTGCATTGGTTGGTCAGATTGGCGGAGGGGTTTGAGAATCGTGAGTCAACCTGAATGCTGGGCGGATGCAGGGGGGTTCCCTATAGAATCCTTCCATTTTGCATTGGCGGGGCTATTTGAGTACAATTCTTGCTGGGTGCTTGAAACAAGTTAACACACACATATATTATATATATATATAGTCATAGATGGTCATAGATGATAATTGCAGAAGTTTTGCCTTTGTTCTATCTGTCTATGCTAAAACTGTTGAGGGTCGTCCTTTTGCTTCTTTAGTTTGTAACGTTTGCACGTGCTGTGGGGTGGCTGAATCATTACACAGTCGTATGTTGCTCTGGTGGACTGTTTGATATCGGGGACTCTGACGATGGAAAAGTCTTGAAGTGAAGTTGGATTGATCGAGTTTGGTGAACAGAGCTTTACAAAAGTTCTGAAAAGGCATCGCAGAGCCGCAGAGCAATGATGCGAGCTTTGCCTCCGTCATTTTTTGTCCTACCCCAGTGACAATTGAGATTCATTTGACACAGTGGATGCATCATCTCAGTTTGTCTCCGGCTTCTGGCAATCCTGGTACGACGCTCTCAGGCATCGTGGGCATGTGCATTGCAAAGGCGGGTAGGGGACTTTGTACCAGTGACTGGACATTGGAATAGATTGGATGCGTTGACCCGGCAGGTTAATGCAGAGTTGCTCATCACTGGTTTGGATGTCTACTACAACCCAGACTCTCTGAGATGCAAAGCCAGACCTTTCATGACCTCTCAACATGTGTTCCGAGATGTCTTCTTAGGATGCAGAATGTGGGATAATATAGGCATGGCATGGCATGGCCAACAATGGAGGTTGGACAGCTGATGACATCGGTATAATTGGTGTATAAGATGTTCGCCAGTGGAGTATGAACGTCATGAGAGCTGAGGAAGAACTGACTGGGCTGCTGACCACAATGACAGATCCGAACTGGCGGCCGGTGGGCGAGGAGGAAGCTGCAACTTGGAATCATTTAGACCTTCGCAGGTCCAAGGGCCCAAGGGGTCAAAGTTACGCCTGAAACCCACCACCGATTCCGGCTAAACTCTGTGATTTCGTATGATGTTTGTTGATTTTTTATGATTTTGTTGGCTTCCCCAGATTTGGTCACTCTGGTCACTCCTCTGTGGACATTGATCTTCAGATGTCACAGCCACCGACACCAAGGATGGAACCGCTCAAGGGGGTGGCTGCCGGAATAATTCATGTGAAGTCATGTGATTTATATGGAGCTAACCGACTCAACCAGACGATAGCGGATTGTATGATGCAGAGAGATGTTCACTGCTTCTTGGGTATCTTCAAGAGTTGGTAAGCCCATGTAAGCCCCAAAATCCAATGGTTGGTGTTCACCCGCTTTCAGACAAGAACACTCTGTTTGATGTCAAGAGTCCGAAGCACCAGTATCACCAATTGTGCGGTTTGCACACTGCGGCTCCCTTGGCAATCAATAAGCCTGAGCCATACACAAGAGATCCTTATATATCCCAGTGTTCACCCCAAAAAACTTTGATTATATCATCAGTTTGAGGCAAACACAGAGAATGGTGGAACAAGGCCTTTCTTGAACAGCAAAGCCCCACAAAGCTCCCATACCCACGTTGTTGAAGAATGGTTGATTTATGGTGGAGCGAAACGGATCCAGACGTGACCGCGGCTCTACCATTTTTTCAATTGACTAAAGAAAGCAGCGCACAAAGCAGCATGATTGTTGGCAGAAAGATTGTGCAGGATATTCATAAGAAATCATCAGAGGTCCCTTTTTTCTCCAACACTTTCCAGAAACCCCAAGCATTTTCAAAACTAAGTTTGACGCCGGAAGGATTTGCTCCTGCATCATGGTCAAGCTATTTCAAGCTTAAAAAAGGGCTAATGACTCGGCCATCTGAGAACTTCTCAATACAAACTCTTTCCATAGACCTTTTTTTGCATCTCAGAGGTTCATGCTCCATCCATCCCAGATGAGTCCAGATGGGATCTGAGACCTTTCATTGGAGACTGTCATGAATTGGCTTAGATTGTGGACAACGTTGCTAAAGCGATGGAAATCATGCTACTTGAGAACATCCTGCAGCAGGATTGTGGATTGTCTGACCGGCAAAGACAGGCCAGCATATTTCCCGCCGTGAAGCCTGCCTCAAGAATGTTGAGAGCGTGGCTCAAGAAAAAGACACATGAGCTGACACATGCTTTCACGGTGGACTCCGCCCCAATTTATGATCCACAGTTGTTGAAGACAATATAAGGTTCCTAGAAAATCCATTTGGAGATGTTTCAGTGGCTTCCCCCAAACGAGCACGCCTGGTACTCTGGGAATCTCCATCGCAGCTGAAGCATTTGAAATGGCTCTGTGTGATTCTGCGTGCTGCCAATCCAACCTCCGTACATTTTTCTGATTCTTTTTTACTATATCTTGACTTGCCTCTAGTGTAGGTCCATGTAGATCCTCTACCATCCTCCATTTATGTCTGCACGTTTGCCTTTGGGCATACTTCATTCAGTCACGTGCCGCAGCTTTTTTGGTGCTCCAGGGGCACAATTCCCTAGCGCCACCATGAAGGAGGCTGTGGTGTGCAAAGTCTGTGCCAAGCGGCAAGCCAAGATGCCATCCAGCTGGGTATTGGACGATTGCTGCTTCTACTGCCCAGATTGTTGGGAGGTGCCCTCCTGGGATGCACAGAGATTCGGCTTTAGAGAATGACATAGAATTTGTGTATATATATATATATTTATTAATATATATATATATAGTTGATATTTAGTTAATTGATTTTATGATATATATATATAGAATCTAGATGGAAACATCATGTGTGGAGTTGTCACATGCAGTTTTTGTATTCGAGCGATGGCTTAGTTAGGCAAGCTAATGCATAGGCTTGAAGGCTCTGAAGGCTCCACACTTCTTTAGGACTTCAGGAGTGTAGAGTGCAGGAACAGATCAGAACTGCGATCAATTTTTCGGGCGATGCCAAAAGGTCCACCATCACATACCCATGTGGGGGGTTTCTTAAAATCGGGGATCCCCAAAACATCCCAAAACCATGGGTGTCAATGCTAGAATGGTTATCCATGACTTGGATGATTTGGGGGTAGCCCCATGACTCGGGAAACCTCCATGTTCTACCCATTGTGTGTTTCATGTTTTGCCCTTCCATGCCTCAGTGACAGGCCTTTGCTTGCCATCTATGTGGTCATCACGATCCCAAGGGCAGCGACTTTAAAGGCACCTGGAACTGTCGATCCTGTCGCCACAAGAGGCTTGTGAAGGAGATCGGACTGTTGGTCCCAATGGAGCATATGAATGTATGTATATTATATAGAATATATATATATATAATATTATATATATATAATATTATATATATATATATAATATTATATATATAGGGAAAAAATAGGGACGCATAGGGAAATAATAGGGAACAAATAGGGGAAAAATAGGGAAATTTTCTGGGGCAACTCCAGGAGACACTCCGCGCGGGGGAACACACTTTTTTGGGGCCACAGCTGCCTTTGGGGCCAGGAGCACAACAGGGAAACACAACGAGAAAAAGAGAAATGGTTAATTTAAAAACATAGAAGTTCATATCTATGTGCACCCAGCCATGTTTAAAACACATTGATCACATTGTGTTCAGATGAAAAACATATCTATACACATTTTTTAAACGGGTGTATATAGCAACGCGTGATACAAACAACAGCACAACCACAGCATCGCCAGCCATTGTTTGTTGCCCTCGTTGGGGCGTTTTGTTTGGAGGGGGCAACGTGTCCGGGCCTGTATGGCCACTCCTCAGCCACCTTACCCAGGGATACCCATTGAGGTGCAATTAATCTAGGAAGGATGGTGAGTTAGTGTTTGAGGTATCATTCCTTGTCAAGTATCTTCATTACAGTATCTGTATTATTTGTTTTATTTAACTTATATTTTCTGTCTATTTGTCATATTGTGTACTGTCTGTTTGTTTCTACTTGTTTTCCATTCATTCACTCCCAACATCACCAAATAGTGGGAGGAGCCTTTGTTTCTGTGGGTTCCTGATTCTATAGACGGGACGGGGCCTGGGTTTCTGTGGATTCCGGATTCTATAGAGGGTGGGGGCTGCCTTTCTGTTGGTGAGTTCCTGTTTCATGGAGTCATAGAGGCGGATAGCTGGCTGTTGATGTTTATTCAGCAACCAACAAAAAGTATGCAAACCAATGTAAATCAACGAAGAAGAAATCACAATGAATAAACAAAAACTCTCAGTTGTATTTTTTGTGTTGACCTGTTTCGTGCTGAACCTCTGTCAGATGCCGTGCGCAGGGCTCTTTTCAATCCACATATTTTGCTTTCCTCTCCAGACTTTCGTCTGCAGATTTTGATGGTTTTAGAACGTTTTAGATATCCTTTAAATTGGTTTAGATGATTTAAAAATATTACTTATATACATGATTTTAGTCTGAGCCCATAGGGTTCCAGGAACAGTAGGACAAAGAAACAATCATTTTTCCTTCCCAAATTGCATGCTTATTATCTTCAAAGGACTTTAACAATCATGTCGCGAAACGTAATTTGATGGGCCAACTCAACATTGAGAAAAACGGCGTGCACTCTGCCTTCTTACAGGCTTCAACCCCATTCTGCTGGAGTACGCCTCCCCCCTCTATAGGGTTCACAAACCAAATTTGGGACATGTGCAAGTGACCCCTTGAGAAATGTCAGAACATGGTGGTTCTGATTCTATAGTAGAGAATTCCACAAAAATGTGGCATTAAGTCAATACCCCATACTCCTACATTTTATACAGGGGTTTTGATCAGGTTTAGAGATTCTATAGAGGGGGGGGGTACTCTCCGTTTTATACCTCTAGAATCAGGGAGTACGGGGTAATGACATTTGAAGGGGGATGAATATATAATATATCGTATATGATGGTTATGTAACCAGTGGAGCACCAATGGATTTGGAGCCAACCTCATTTTGGGCAAATCCATGAACTCCTTTTCCGTCATTTATGACCGTCCTTCTCCAGCATGTGTAATACTTGTATGCAATTAGATAGTCTAGTAGCAGACTTTGGAGTTTAATAGCTTTGCTAGAGGGGTCTGTTGCTTCAAGTTCAGATTTTGTTGCTAGGATTGCTTGAGACTCGCACCGGGCGCACTTGGATTTCTTCCATGTGCACTTGGATGCATATTAGCCTTTACCTACAAAATGGCTGTTAAATCTTACAGTCCAGGAGAAAGCAGGACCTTCTCCGGATGCCCTGCAACAGCTGATCATCGAAGAGAGCGAAGAAGTTTGTTGCATGGCGAAGAAGCCGTTAAAGGTTACCCCCAAAATAAGAACGGCGCAGGAAGCAGAGGGGCGAATTCCTCTTGTTGTTTCAAACGGTGGCTCATGATGAGTATTGTTTGACCAGCACGCTGAAAGACACTCAAACTGATGTCAGACACATGTCTTTGGTTTTTGCAGTTGAAACATGGCCCTGGAAGTACTCTCTAAGGTGACTCCATCAAGATCAACGATGCCGCAAAGTCTGGAGCAGTGCATTCCTGAGTGAACTGACATGAGCTGACCAAATTGGTCCAAGCATCGTCGTCATCATCAAACCATCTTCAGCATAAGACCATCATCATAAGCACTAGTCACTTCATGTCACCTGTATCTCTTCGGAGCCTTGGGTACCTTCCACTGAGGTAAACCTGCTAGGCACTTTGGGCGACACCGACAGTGAAGAGGAAGACGTGGTTTGTAGCTTGACGACCACGCTGAAATGTGGAATTGTACTGTATGTTTTGCAGCCCCAAGATGACTTAAACACTTAAACATCTTAAACCGTAAACCGTAAACCTGACAGGTTGCAGCGTGTGATCTTGTGGACTGCTAGGATTTGAAGCGTTGGATTGGGCGCAGCAGCGCAGCGTCCGTTTGAGGTGAACTGCCTGCGCAGATGAAGGGACGCAAGCGAGTAGAGCCTTCCAAGAAAGTGCGTCATGTGATCTTGCTGGTGGATGCTTCTGGCAGTATGCGCACTCCAGACGTGGATTTGGATCTAGAGACCCGCAAGGACCTGTGAGATGTGAAGCACGCCAAGCACGTACATCCACGGACACAGCTTTAAGAGTTTTGAGATATGGACAGAGACAGGGAGAGAGAGGAGCATCATCAGGTCACTTCAATATACTTAAATACATTTCCATACTAAGTCCAGCTTGTTACAGCTTGTTACAGCACCACTTTAAGTTTGATAAAATGCCCGAAGTTTTTTTCCAGTCTCCAGGAGCTCGGCATCAATGGCCAAGTGAGCCGAATCGAAGCGGCCGAGCTTTGCTCTACCAAGTTTGCCAGGGAACACGCACGGGCACGGCCACAGGATGTCTTTTCCGTGGTGACTTTTCACGAATTCGCCAGTGTGGTTTGTTGCAAAGCCTCTTCTTCAGAAATGGCTACACTGGCCTTTGAAGACCGAGCTGCCAATGGCACCTTCTACTTGCAGGCCTTGATTTCAGCTGCGAGGCTGTTGCTGCAAGCTTCTCCCGAGCTACAAGGTGACGCTCAAGAAGACATTATGTTCCAGAGAAAAGAAGGGAACATTATGTATTTGTAGTATTTTGTAGTATCTTGTAGTAAGATATACCTTATATATACGTACGTATACATATGTTTATATAGTGAAATAAATCCCCAGATTGATTGATTCACAATTTCTTGGGTTATTTGGAGGCGTGAATGAATGCTGCTCGTGCTACAGCAACATTGGGTAAACCCATTGGTCCAATTGGAATTTCCGAGGTGAAGTCGTGTTGCTTTCCGACGGTCGGCCTGCAGATACTAAACAGGCACTCACCTACTTCCAAGAGCAATTTCTGCGCGGCCCACTGGCTGGGACCCAACTGCATGGCATTGGCTACTGCTTTGAAGAACTCATGTTCAATTTTTTGTTTGAAGCTATAATTATATACTAATACTGTTGTTGATTTTTTTTTTGTAAGGATTGTGATTGAATGATTCCTTAGTTTTTTTGGTTCTTGCGCCACCTGACTGAAGACTCTCACACCTTCTCTTATAACCCATGAGGCTTTGGCAGCAGAGTCGAGAGCTTTGCAGCTCTGCAGCAACTCGCATGCCTCACAGGAGGGACCTTTGCCCTCTCAGGCAGTACGGTGCGTGGACTTTGCGACGCATTTTCTTCCGTTTCCTCAACCATTACTGCTGGGAGCAACAAGTGGATCCTGGCAGATGGAGCTGAGGCCTGGCATAGTGCTGGAATCTTCTGTGTATTCCATTTCTATCCATTCCTTATGATTTCTTGGATTTGGGAACTGTAGTTCCAAGATGTTCAAAGATCTTCTGTCCAAGGCTTGAACGGGGCCGGTCCGTTTATTTGATGATGGTTTTTCGCACATCAAAGCAACATTTTTGCATTCATTGAGTTAGTGAAGGGCATCGAAAGTCTAGGATGCAGAACATACTGGCACAAATAATATCTATAGTCAACATTCTCTGGTTTGTGAATTGCTGGTGTTTTTTGGGGTAACATGGGTATGTCCAAAGTCCAAAGTCTAAAGCGAGGCTATCCCAAAATCCAGTGTGCCAGCATCATTCCACTGAGATTTTCCCACAACTCCACTTCCCAGATCGCATACTGTCAGCATCCGACTATCACAATATCCATATCCTCATCTATATCCTCATCTATATCCCATTATATCCCATTATATCCCCATTATATCCCATTATACCACCATGTTTGTTGGTTAACCCCCTTACTACCCCCATGAAATCCTCATGTCCCGACAAAAATCACAGGTGAACTCTTCGCCCCAGCTGCGCGTGGTGGACTTTGAACTCCCCGAGGCAGGGCGAACATGGCGAATGGGGAAATAGAATGGACATGAATGGCATCATAGTGAATTGGAATACCATTATTTCCCCATAAATGGATATAAATGTTTTTTTTCATTATTTCCCCATACCATTGTTTTTTCCATTATTTCACCATACCATTGAATAATGGGGAAATACCATTGGAATAATAGGGAAATATTAATGGACTTTTTTCATTATTTCCCCATACCATTGAATAATGGGGAAATACCATTGGAATATGAATGTATGGTATCATCTACACCATATTAGATGGGGATGGAAAAATAAAAAAATAAATTATGAATGAAAAAATGCATGAATAATGAATGTAGATGATTCACCAATGGATTTTTTAGGATTTTTCTAGATATTTTTCTCTTGAATTTTCAGGAAAGCTAGCTTCTGCTAGCTGAAGTCCCTCTTACTTTAGCAAGGTATTGGGGAGGGCTGGAATCTCCAATCGCATGAAACTTCATAGATACCTACCCCCCCGGCTGGCTGGTTCACAAGCAGTTTGGCCCCGGGTGCAAAGCTCCCTGCCAAGCTAGCTTTCGTCCCTTACCCCTGGGCCTCAAGTCAGATACAGCCAGATTGCAGAGTTATCTTGGATGAAATTTGATTTCAATCATATTCAAAGCTTAGCATCACTATGTCTGGGAAGGAGGAATGGCATGGTAAATATAGCATGGTGTGACTCGATTGAGCCACGCAGGTTGGCATATTTGGCAAAAAACATGTGCTCCGTTTCCGCGCAGTTCGTAGCTCATTCAGTCTCTTGGCAAGTCTGAGCATGTTGAGATGGTTAGCTGTCATGATTCCTGAGAGATTCAGAGCCAGCTGCTGCAGCTGCTATTCATCACTCTGAGGTTTTGATGGGCAAGCTTTCCACAAGCAAGACTTTGCAGCAGGGCATGTGGTGCGGCGTCGTTTGCCATACATGCGTGGTGGCATGCGGCTCGTGTACGGTTTTCAGGACGAGCAAGTCTCAAAGAACGGACACTGGATGGTTGCGAAGCTTGGTCGAATGTTGCGCACATATTTAAGGAGGTTTCCATAAATGGGGGTACGCAAAATGGATGGTTCATAATGTGAAATACTATTAAAATGGATGATTTAGGGGTGCCCCAATTTTAGGAAACCTCTATTTGCCTCCTCTTGAAATTCTTGAGCGTTTTCTTCAAGGATTTCTTTTTCCATTTTGGGAGAAAATTAACCAGCAAATCATGCAAAGCAAGAGGTTGACACAAGTCACACATATTTTTCCCAAGGAAATGCTCTCGCTACCTGAGTGGAGCACTAAACTCGCCTGTTGCCGTAGAAGCACATGCCAAGTCAACTGCCGTTGCCAGACATTTTGCTTCTCGCTTCAATTCACGTTTGCGTGCTCTATGTGCAGAACCAGCTTCATTGCTTTTTGTACCATGCTTCGTCTATGAAGTGGAAGGCCATGCCCCAGAGAACGAACCAACTTGCTTTGCTGCTGAGCGCTATTTGCCGGGGGTTTTCCTAAAGTACAACTCCAATAGCGGCTATGTTGCAGATGCACTGCTTCCTCACAATGACATGGTTCAGGCATTTTTGCATTTCAGCTTTGAGGAGTCTGGTGGAAAGTTCATAGTTGCTGATCTGCAGGGCGTGGCGCGTGACAAGGAGGTCCTCCTCACTGATCCTCAGGTTTTGTCCCTGACGCGTGAGTATGGCCCTGGCGACCTGGGAGCCACCGGATACATCCGCTGCCTGAAGGCTCATCGCTGTGGGCGAAGCTGCCAACAACTACAGTTGACACCCATCAGCTCATCCAGGGTGAAGCGAATTGAAAGTTCGGCGAGTGCCACCAGTGGAACCAGTGGCTGGCAACATGTTCATTCAGCGCACAGCTTTGGCGACTGGGAACGAATTAGCGAGCGTGCTGCGGCTGAGTATGCAATGAGCGAAGGCCGGATGGACATGCAAATTGCTACAAGCTACAGCACTTTCATGCTGGTGTGATGCATTCTTCGTGGTTGTAAGACAGATCCGCAAGTCATGCGAGAAAATAACCAGAATTGAATCCCTTTGAGCTGCCTAGAGCAGCAATATCTATGTTCAACCATTGACATCATTGACACTTATCATGAGGTATCATGAGGTATTTGGAGCAATTTCACCCGGATTTATACCCTGAAGGTACAGCCTCGTCAGTGTCTTCTTGGATTGACATCGACAAGCAAAACAAGATAAACAAGCTTAGCTGACTCCAGAGCTCTGCCGAGCTGGAACGGAGGGCTTCATGTACAGCAGAAATGAAGCATGCAAAGCGGAAAAAACGCAATTTGCACTTCTTTCGTGGGACGATGTGTGACCAAGGATGTAAGTAAAGGGGATGGTTTTAGAGTCCACTTGGGATTTTTGTCAAATGGCTTGTACGTAGATAAGATTCAGATCAACTCAATTTAATCTTATGGTTGTATTTGATGGACATCAAGCCTTATGGCCGTACCTCCTATATAGATCTATATAGTGGATATTGATGGTTTGACCTTTAGCCTTGAACCTTCAACCTTTCCCCTTCAACCTTTACCATCAAACTTTGAGCATTGAACACCTGTCAAGGTTAAATCGTATACTAATATCATATATCTTAATCTTTAACCTTTAATAAACCTTGGACCTTTAATATTAAACCTTGAACCTTCAAACCTCACACCTTTTGACCTCAAACTATGAATCTTAAACCGTGGGCTTGAACCTTCCACTCTAGAATTAAACTATGAATCTTAAACTTTGAACCTTGGAACCTCTTGATTTAAAAGCAACTGTAAGAGTAAGTGTAGTCACCGTAATTTGAATGTAATTGTATTCGGTTGCATTTGGCATGTGGGGCAACAGCTTTGGAGAACAGCTTTGGCGCACAACTTTGGGGAGCAGTGCCGGGGAACAGCTTTGGGGAGCAACTTTAGGGAGCAGCTTTGAGGAGCAGCTTTGCACGGCAGCTTTGAACAGCAGCTTTGGGAACACCTTTGGGGAGTAGCTTTAGAACGCAACTTTGGGGAGCAGCTTTCGGGAGCCGCTTTGGAGAATAGCTTTGGGGAGCCGTTTTGGGGCATAGGTTTGAAAAACGCAGCTTTGGGGCAATAGCTTTGGACAGCAGCTTTGGGGAGCAGCTTTTGGTAGCAACTTTGGGGCGCAGCTTTCGGGAGCCGCTTTGCAGAATGGCTTTGGGCAGCCGTTTTGGCGAACAGGTTTGCAGAATCGTAGCTTTGGGGCAACAGCTTTGGAGAACAGCTTTGGGGCACAACTTTGGGGAGCAGCGCCGGGGAACAGCTTTGGGGAGCAGCTTTGGGCAGCTTTCCGGGCCAGCTTTGAGGCAGCTTTGGGCAGCAGCTTTGGAATTTTGGTGAACTTCTTTGGGACGCGGCTTTCGGTAGCAACTTTGAAGAGCAGCTTTGGGGAGCAACTTTGGGGAGCAACTGTGGGGAGCAGCTTTGCGGCTTTGCAGCAGCATTGACGAACAGTTGCTTTGAAGAACGACAGCTTTGGGGATTAGCTTTAGAAAGCAACTTTGGGAAGCCGCTTTCGGAAACAGCTTTGGGGGGCTTAGCAGTTGTTCGGAGCAGCTGTCGATAACAAGTTTGGGGAACGGCTTTGGGGAACAGCTTTGTGGAGCAGGTTTGGGGAGCAGCTTTGGGGAGCTGGAGCAGCTTTGAGGAGCAGCTTTGCACGGCAGCTTTGAACAGCAGCTTTGAATGGGGAGCACCTTTGGGGATTAGCTTTAGAAAGCAACTTTGGGAAGCCGCTTTCGGAAACAACTTTGGGGGGCTTAGCAGTTGTTCGGAGCAGCTGTCGATAACAAGTTTGGGGAACGGCTTTGGGGAACAGCTTTGGGGAACAGCTTTGTGGAGCAGGTTTGGGGAGCAGCTTTGGGGAGCCGGAGCAGCTTTGAGGAGCAGCTTTGCTGAACAGCAGCTTTGAATGGGGAGCACCTTTGGGGATTAGCTTTAGAAAGCAACTTTGGGAAGCCGCTTTCGGAAACAACTTTGGGGGGCTTAGCAGTTGTTCGGAGCAGCTGTCGATAACAAATTTGGGGAACGGCTTTGGGGAACAGCTTTGTGGAGCAGGTTTGGGGAGACCTCCCATAGGCTAAAAAAGGTAACGTACATGATTGTTTTTTTATACCAATTTGAGGGGGGGAAGAAAGGTAATATTGGTATTGTACGGGGGTATACCTACTATGTTATATTTTCCAAGGTCCCCTCCATGACCAGCCACGGAAATATTTTTGGGGGGACCCTAAGGGCTAGAAATTATAACATATTTCTGTGGGATAGCCAAAAAATAAATGTTATTTTTTTGGATCCTTTTCCCTCCCCTTCCCCTATGACGACCCTATAACTCTACATGACCTTACCATAACCTAGATTAACCTACCATATCCTCCCCATTTATTTCCATTTTACATTCTGATATATTCTGATATTATGTTTGATTCCAATATTTGGATATTTTATTTTGGGCCTATACCGATTTTTTAAAATTGGAAAAATCACGAAAAAAATATTTGAGGGGGAATTTAAATAATATTATAATTGATAGGAGATTTATGTTTTTTGCAATATATTAAATATGTTTAAATTATAACATATATTTTTTAGGTTGGAAAATTGGATTTTATATTTTTTATGT